CACACAACAGTAACAGTAAAACGTGGCATTAATGTCCTGCCACATCTTCTGTATGCATTTGGCAAATATTAACTAGATAACCTTCCCCCAATTGGTAGAATCATCGTTCAATGAGCTGGAAGTTGGTGGCAATGTCATACTGAACTATGCACCAGGAAGTTCATAGCGAGGTTCCTCATACCCGCCATCCACCGAGTGAGGGCTCCAACCTTGGCTCTTGCCAAGGTGCTCCTAATATGCTCCAAAATTAGGTAAGAAGTGTGTATCCCTCCAGGGAGAGAGTCTGCATTCCATTCCAGACACAGGGAAATTGCCAGGTTTAAATGGCATACATATGTGGAACTCTCAATCCGGTCTGGAAACTCTTAAGCATGGTGATGGGGTTCTACATGTGTCAGGCAAAACAAAAGAAGCTGGGAGAGTGTAAAGAGTGATTTGCCAATCATTTACAATATTAACAAAAGCTCTAATTTGATTTATGAAGGTGCCAATGTTCGGAAGTAAAGAGTGAAACAGCTGGCTATGTAGAGATCCTTTTTCTATCCTTGGCTTCTTTCAGAACTTCTTCCAATTGTTCCTCCCAAAATCTTTTGGAAATATTACACATTGTTCCCAAATATTAAACATTATTCCACAAATATAACAAAATTAATTGACATAACCATAGAATTCTATGCAGAAAGTCGTTGTATTATCAAATAATTAGTACAGTACCTCTACGCCTACACGTTCGTTTATGTTCCTCTAACCTTTCGTCCTGTGTGACCTTTTCCTTGTATCAGACTGCTTCTTGGTCACTTGTCTTGGTTTTCAATTTAATCAAACTAAGACTCACTGGCCTTTATTAAGTAATCAAATAATCAAGTTTCTGATAGAAATCATTGTAATATTGTGCTTGATGCATTATTAAAAGAGCTAACTGGACAGGTATTTAGATATAAGCTTGTCAGTCATCTTTCATCCCCTAAAATCTGCCAATATCTTCCTTCTTATCGGGTATAGCAAAGTCTCTCATTAATAATAATCCTTGCATTTGATACAGTGCCTTCATGTTGAGAGGATGTTTCAAAGTGCTTCCCAGGATTTTTATTGTGAAGTGTAGTTTTGTAGGCAACACGCAGCCAATTTGCACACAATATTCCACAAAAAAACTTATGATGTCAGGAATTTCAGTTCTGAGAGGTCTCTACTTATGTCCATTTATATAGGTAATGTAGTGGTTAGTGTGCTCGCCTTGCAAGGGAGAGGACCCAGATTTGATTCCTGAGTGAGGTGAAACCTCAGGCAAGGAAACTTGAAACCTTAGCCAAGTTTCCTTACTCCGTGCACCTGTGTTTACTTAACAGTAAGTAGGAACCCGGTTGTTAGTTGGTTGGCGGATCACTTTTCGTGGTTGATAATCCCTTCTAAAATAATAATAATAATTTGGTCACTTTTTCCACAACTGTTTGTGGGACACAGCTGTGCCAATTGGCTGCTGCGTTTCATCCACAACATTCTGCACTTTACAATATATTCTGTGAAGCACCTTGAGACATCTCAATGACGTGATAAGGGGCTATATTAAATGCAAGGATAATTATTATTATTATTATTTGGCATCCCTATTGTCAGTTAGTTTTGTCTGCAACATGCAAAATCACTATACTTTGTAGTCACCTCAACAACAACAAGATTACATTTGTATAGCGCCTTTCACATCGGGAGGAGGTCCCAAGGTACTGGACAGTGTACAGCATTTCAAGGCTTGTCTACGGAAACTCCCTCATTTGTCAGCCCCCCCAACTCTTCCCTCCACAAGTTGCAGATCATCCAGATCTCTGCAGCTTGTGTCCTCTCCTGGACCAGGTTCCGTGACCTCATCACCCACACCCTCGCCCGGCTGTACTGGCTCCCCATCCCTCAGAGGATAGAATTCAAAATCCTCGTCCTCACTTTCAAGGCCCTCCATGGCCTTGCCCTCTCCTACATCTCTGACCTGCTGTACCCCTATCATCCCCTCCCACATCCCAACCTTGGGACATCCTCCTGACATGAAAGACGCTTTACAAATGTAATTTTGTTGCTGTTGTTGTAGTATATCCAGCAAAGCGATTTGAGACATCATGATCTGCATGAAATGCAAGTCATTTTAGTTTACAACAACAACAACAAGATTAAATTTCTACAGCGCCTTTCACGTTGGGAGGACGTCCCAAGGCGCTGGACAGTATACAACATTTCAGACCCGAGCTGGGGTTGGGGGGGAAGAAGGGAGGGGAGGGGAACGGGGGTGGCCGTTGGCATGGTCGAAGAAGAGGGTCTTGAGGCAGGACTTGAAGGAGGCTAAGGAGGGGGTGAGGCGGAGTGATTGGTGGATGGAATTCCAGAGGTTGGGGACAGAGTGGCAGAGTTTAACCTTAGATAAAGAGAACAAGCAGATTCAGAATAGTTACTTCCACTTCAAATCTATTCAACTCTATTGCCAATGCCTATGTTATACAATATGTTTCCTTGTCCACTTTTGGTGATCGTACTTAAATTTTTAAGTTGTGCTGTTTGTGCACATATTATACTGTGCGCAAAACTGGCTGCTGCGTTTCACCTACAAAATACAGTCAATCCACTTTACACTATATCTTGTGAGGCGCTTTGCGATCTCTTGACAACGAGAAAAGGCATTATGTCAAATTGAAGGATTATTATTATTATAAAGCGAAGGTCATAATGTCAAAACATCCCAGAAGTTACTTAGTCTGTACAACTGCTTATGGACGAAAAGGACCCTGCAGCACTTAGGAAATAATAATAAATAATAATAATAATCCTTGCATTTGATATTAACACCTTATCATGTCATCAAGACATCTCAAAGCGCTTCACAGGATACTGTAAAGTGGATTGATTGTGTATTTTGTTGGCAAAATGCAGTAGGCAGTGGCACACAGTAATGTCCCACAAACAGCCGTGGAGTGAGTTCCCAATTTTATTTGAGGGATTGTTGGCCAGGACACTGGGAGAGAGAAACTTCCTTCTCTTTTCGAACAATGCCACACCTAACATCCACCATTACAAATGGTTTATAAATGGAATCTTGTTGTTGTTGTTGTTGTACAAGCAGATGGAACCTCGGTTTAATTTTTTATCCGAAGGTACACACCTCCGACATTGCAACACACCTGCAGCACTGCATTGAAATATCATCTTAGACTACGTGATTCCAAGTCCGATGTACGGCTTGAACCCACAACCTTCTGACTCAGAGGCAAGAGTGCTACCACTGAGCCAGGCTGACACATCAGGGAGAAAGCATTCTGTTATACAACGGAGAGAAAGAATTATATTTCACAATTTTATTATAAGCAAATCAAAATACCTTGCCCAATTTGTTCAGTCCTAACAAAGTACATAAATGATTTGGCTATTTACATTCTCATCATGGAACAAGCAGATAGCATTAACTAGATAAGGGCATATGCTTTTTGATCTTTTTAAAATAAATCAATTCCTCAGTGGCTCAGTGCATAAATGGCATGCAGCAATAAACTAGAGTTCAGAAGAACGCAAGAATGGTATATTCACAGTTGATTATTGGGGAATGGGGGTAGAGAAGCAATATCCAGAGTTCTTGCTTTTAATTGCTACCCAGTGATCTTTGCTGGAAAGTGCTCGTGTGCAAGTTGGGCAAAGGCATGATCTAGCTCTGAAGCCTTTCTTGGTCAAATAGTCTGGCTACACTCATTATTAGAACTAATAATAATTAATACTAATAGAGCTAATGTGAACCGGGCTCCTTCATGTCCGCTGCCTCACTCACCCCACTATTGACGGGCAGGCATTCTGCCACTCTACTCCCAATGTCTAGAACTCCATCGCAGTCCCTCCGCCTCGGCCCCTCCCTTACCTCCTTCAAGACCCATCTCAAGACCCTCCTCTTCGACCGTGTTTTCGATCACCCTGCTTCACCCCTGCCCTCCACCCTCCCCGACCCCTGAAACTCTGTCTGTCCAGCATCTTGGGACATCCTCCCGACGTGAAAGGCACTATACAAACGTAACTATGTTGTTGTTGGGTGATTCATGCAAATTATTGTAAGGAACACGGAAACATAATCCAACATTGAAAGAAGTCCATGCGATCATTAGGAGGCAACATATTATTGACAGTCAGCTTGTACATTCAAAAATATAAAAGCCAATTCAAAGAGTTCCCAGCATAACAGCTGCAAATATTGCAGGAAAATCAAAAAGTGACAAATAAGGCAATGAGACAAAAGGAAAATAAAATACAACCACTCCTGTATGTTGGCACTACTTTTCAAGTGATTCTGTCTTGTTCATACTTCCACTACACTGCTCTGATTCACACAGAGAGAACTAGCCCACTTGGTCACCTCCTGCCATGCACAACTCTACTTGTTGCATACTAGGAATTCTAGGGCCTCCCCAGACAATTCCTCCCCAAGTTTTCAAGACAGCATTTACAAGGGTCTGCTGGAAAACCGTTGTTTTCTTATCCTGCCTACAACCATTCCCGGTAGTGCTAAATTCTGCACTCCACAGCTGGATAGCAGACAAATTTATGTGCTTCACACCTTGTTAAGGTCTTTGCTAAGCGTAAAATCCTCATTACTAGCCTAGCCATTGGATGTAGTGAGGGTGTTAAAATATGTTACTCCCATTTCTCACAGCAGAATGTTTGGCACAACAAAATGGCACTATATCCATAGTGCCCACAAATAGTTACTTACCGTAATGCATGGTTTTGGAATTTGATAGAACATCTTGCCGATTGTTCCTATTAGGTATTGTGGAACATTGGTCTCACAGTGAGTTTCTTTCCAGACTGTTAACAACAACAACAACACGTTTCACGTAGAATGAATGTCTCAAAGTATGGAGTACTGAGCAGGGAGAATGAGAGATATTGACTATCAGCACGGTTGAAATGTTTTTTTGTTCAACTCAGGATGGTTCCCCTGAGAAGATGCTGCTGGGTCTTCTCTTGGAACCACTGTAGTCCTTGTGGCGATGGTGCTTCTTCAATGGAGTTGGGTGGATATTTCCAGGATTTTGACCCAGTGACAATGAAGTATTTGTCCAAGTCTGGATGGTGAGTGATTTGGAGGTGGTGACACTCCTATTATCCCACTGCTCTTGTTTATCTGGATGGTGGAAATTGCGGGCATATGAGGTGCTGTCAAAGGAAAGTTGATGATTTGCTGCATTGCATTTTGTAGATACAATAACAACTTGTATTTATATAGCCCCCTCACGCAGTGTAGAATCCCAGAGTGCTTGTAGTACACACTTGGGAGATAGAGAGATAATGAAAGAGACAGTGAATCCTGGATTTCTACTGGATGGTGTCGAGCTTTTCAAATGTTTAGCTGCACCCATCAAAATGAATAAATAATATTCCTCCACAATCCTGACTCCAGCCTTGTAGATTGTGGAGAGACTTTGAAGAGTTAGGAAGTGAGGCACTATTTGCAAAGTACTTAGTCTCTGTCCCACTATTATGGGCGTGTTGTTGATGTGGCTGGCCCAGTTAAGCTTAATATTGTAAAGCGAACCAGGATCGGAAAGGAGTATGCACACATCAAACCCGTAATTCAGCAATTCAGGTTTATTTGTACAAGAGAATGTTTTACTGGCCTTAGAGTCTCTGGCACACAAAAACTCTTCCAACCTCTCGCTCACTATGTTTCCACTCAGCTCAGGCTCACAGTACTCATTCCTGCTCTCAACAAGCCAGTCTCCTCTGAACCATGTGATTAGGCTGTAGTCTGCCTTTGCCCTTCGCTCCAGCCAGCAGCACCTGCTGGGGGCTTCTTGGGGGCTTGGTCAACCCATTTATGCGAGGACAGACCCCACCTCCCCTCTCCAGTACAATGTGAAAGCCCAACTTAGCCACCTTCCACAGTGCTAGTTCAGACTCTGTTACAAGATATATGTTTATGGTAAATATTTGATGAAGATAATGTGTTGACCAATTACAAAATGGCCCAGTACTCATTAGGTGAAGGTTATCTGTATTTATCAAATGTGAGTCCTCTGTTACTTGTACTTATTGCTTGCTGCAGTTTGGAAAGGTGAGACGGGCTGGGGATGGACAGACCCACACCTGCAGTCAAAGGTATTTTTGTTAACTTAACTGTACATGCACGTTAATGGGCCAGAATCTTCTGGTATTCAAAATAATAATCCTTGCATTTGTTATAATCATGCTCTGCATTTGAAGACCTTCCTGTAACTACAGTCAATTCCTTTCCCTCCCTGGGTTGAAAATGTGTCACAGAATATACTGTGAAGTGTCATGTTTATATACTGTATTTTGCAGACGAATGTGGCAGCCATTGTGCACCCAGCAATGTCCTACAAACACCCATAAAGTGAGTGACCCATTTTATTTGGGGATTGTTGGCTAGGACATTGGGAGAAACTCCCTTCTCTTTTTGAATAGTGCCATGGGATCTTTAACATCCACCTGAACAGGCAGTCAGGACCTTAGTTTAATGTCTCATCCATTCTTCTTCCTTCAGACAGACCTAGCCAGTGCTTTGATGTAGAAACTTAATAAAAGCTTCCAATTGAGGAATGGAAGTTGGGGAGACAAATGATTACAAAGGGAATTCTCTATAACATTTCTCCACCAGAATAAAAACGTAACATTTATTCCTTGCCCAAGTTTATCTGGGGAGTTTGTTGCTTCATATCCAATTCATCCATTCAGCAGCAAAAAAATCCAACAGTCCAATTACAGTATAATAGAGGAGTATTTAACTCACTTAATAAAACTGTGAGCACATATAGCTCAGTAAAAAAAAACTCTTAAATTTGTTTCCCAATAACTGCTCTCTGAGTCCTGTAGCTCGGTGGTTAGAGCACTCGTCTCGCATGCGAGAGACCTGGGTTTGATTCCCGGAAGGGCGAAACCTTACTCCACGCACCTGATAATAATCCCTCAAGAAAGACATCCAATAATAAAATTGGTCACTTCAATTCGCGACTGTTTATCCGACACTGCTGTGCACAATTGGCTGCTGCGTTTCAACCACAAATACAGTCAATTCACTTACACTATATTCTGTGAAGCGCTTTGAGATGTCTAGAAGGCGTGAAAAGCGCTATATCAAATCAAGGATTATTATTATTCACTAAAGTAGCCATCTTTTTGCCTTGTAATAATAATAATCATTGCATTTAATATTGACATCAGGAGGATGTCTCAAAGCACTTCACAGGGTTTTATTTTACTGTGAATTGTAGTCACTGTGTATTTTGTAGATGAGCACAACCATGTGTATGAAGTTTCTACCTATTCCCTTCATTATTGAGAAGTGTTGCTGATGATGGGTCATTCGCTGCTCATGAATTGTGTAGGTTTGCAGTTGATCATGGTTTTTCTTTAGTTCACTTCTTCCTGATATGACTCTCATATTCCCAAATATAATATATATACACATATAATATTTGGAATGCTAGCCATCAAATACATTAATTTTTTATTTAGCAATCTGTTATTTACACAGAGACTATTTCCCAATTATTGACTCAGCCTTCACTCTCGCAATCAGGGCTCTGAAAGATTATATTTTAACTTACATTTTAATTATTTCTCATAAAGGAAATACAAATGTCTATCTTTTTGTCTCATTGATAGTGACTATAAATGATAAATAATTATCCTTTCATTTTAGATAACACCTTCATGTCAGGAGGATGTCTCAAAGCATTTCACGGGATTTACAGTGTAGTGACTCCTTTTTGGGCAACTGTGGCAGCTAATTTGTACACCAAAGGCACCAGGAGAAACGCCCTTTGCATAATAATAATAATAATCCTTGCATTTGATATACCGCTCTTCACGTCTTCTCGATGTCTCAAAGCGCTTCACAGAATACACTGTAAAGTGAATTGACTGTATATTTGTGGGCGAAACGTGGCAGCTAATTGCACGCAGCAGTGTCCCACAAACAGTCGTGGATTGAAAATGACCAATTTATTATTGTTTTGTTTTGGAGGGATTATTATTAGGTGTGTGGAGTAAGGAAACTTGCCCAAGGTTTCGCCCTGCCTGGAATTGAACCCAGGTGTCTCGCTTGCAAGGCGAGTGCGCTAACCACTGAGCTACAGGACTCCACCATAAATAACATAAATATGAATACATTATAATGCCACAGGTTCACTGTTCAGTGGCAGAATTGCGGGTATGTTTTGTTTATTAAATCAAAGAATAAGCTCATGTATTGAGGATCCCCTGATACCAAGATAAAGTGCGTAAGGCTAAATGCCAGTATTTTCAAAAGCTTACATATTGACACTGTAAAAATATATATAGATCCAATTAACAATATCATAATAATAATCCTTGCATTCAATTTTGTGCCTTATCATATTATCACATTGTTGAGATGACTCACAGCGATTCACAGGATTTACTGTGCCGTGCATATTCCCAAATTGAAATAAATGAAGCAGAATATTATTTTTAATATATTAATACTACAATCATGGTGTAAAGTTTATACTTAACTGTTATTCATTTTAATATGACATTTATTCAACATATCTTCAGAACCTACATGGCAAGCTCAATAAAGAGTTAAATGCCCACTGCTACTGTGGGTAAATACCATATAAATGTAATTGAGTGTCTGGTATAAATATATTTGGGTAGCATGTGATCTACAAAATATTACATTGCTAACTGAAACTGAGAACGGACTTATAGTAAAAAAAAGTTTGTGAAAGCATGGTTGCACTCCTTTGCTATAGAAAGAAAAATATACAGCTGAGAATGGGCCCGAAGCTGTTTCCTCTGAATTTACTAACCGTGAAGCTTTGGGTTGCTTCACTGACTTTCATTGATCTCCTTAGATTCATGTCTTCAATAGGATGTTGCAGATGTGACTTGATGCGGAAGAGATGCACTTTGTTGCTCTCATGAAGCACTGAATATTTCAGCCTTGAACAGTAAGGCCTTTGCAATCCTGTACTATCCAAGCACTGCAACCAAAGATCCATTCATTCCATAGCTTTGCAAGATCATAGCATGAGAGGCCCTAAAATGAATGGTTGTGTTGACACTGGAGCAACTGCTTCTTTTTATTGTGTCATAAACATTTTACAACTATAAGCTTCTAGGGAACGACAAACATGCAACAGATGCAGTTCAATAAAAACGTTGGTGAAATTATTTTAATTATTCGGACAAATAGTAAACCAACATGACCCTTTATATGTAACTTATCATCAGCACCAATTAAATGCTACATTGATAGTTTTCTGGCAAGAAAAATGTGCCAGTGAATCAGTTCAAACTGAAGACAGTGTAATTCAGCGGTGCTGTCTGGTAACCTAGTGTTTTCTGTATAACAAAGATAATATATTTGAGAGGCTAGTTTACTGTAATTGAAATAATAAGGATAGCAGTGGCACACACATGATTAGCTGGATAGTATCCTAGTGTCAATTCAAACTCAAACACATTCTTCGCCGGTCTTTCCAGTTCCACTATTCAAAAAATCCAGCTCATTCAGAACTCTGCGGCCCGCATTACTGACCTGAACCAAACTGTGCACCCCCATCTCACCAGTTCTGGCCAGGCACCACTGGCTCCCCATCACTGAATGGATTGACTTCAGGATACTCACATTGGGTTCAAATCCCTTTACTCCCTGGCACCTCCTTACCTCTCTGACCTCCTCACTCTCCAATCCACCACCTGGTGCCTCCGCTCGACTGGCACCGGCCTCCTGCTCGTCCCTCGCACCCGCTGCTCCACCATTGGAGGTTGCAGAATCAGCCACTACGCCCTGAAACTCTGGAACACTCCTTCTCAATCCCTCCGCCTTGCCCCCTCTCTTCCTTTTTTCAAGTCCTGCCTGAAAACCTTCCTTTTCATCCGTGATTATGGTTACCTCCCACCCTCCACCCCGGCTTGGGGTCAGACTCTGCCACTGTTAAGTACTCTGAAACGCTACCCTGCATGGAGGGCGCTATATAAGTGCAAGTTGGTATTGTCCCAAAAAATTCTAGATTTGTACGTCTCTATTTTTCCACTGTACATTGTTTGTAAGTGATGTATAGAAAATGCCTGGTATGTTACCAGTCTGAAAAAAAGTTGAAGGAGTTTGATGGGCATAAATTGAGCCTATCCCTTGCACAGATGATATGCAATTTTTCTCTATCCGTAAATTTATTCAGACTTATTTAATATCCAGATGGAGAGCTCCAATGTCTCCATGATACCCAAAATCATTCAAGCAAAACTTTATCTACTGAACTTAATACATCACTACCTTCTTTCCAAGGCATTACATAATCTCAGCAACTTCATAAAATTTCTGTTCCATAAAATATTTGATCATCTCCACCGATACACACTCTAATCTTCAAAACTGCTCCTAACCAAGCAATATCTCACACTTATCTGACAATCCAACTGTGTAGATTGATACTCCAATAGTGCTGAGTGCTGCAATGTTGAAAGTGCTATCTTTTGGATGAGACATGAAACAGAGGTCCTGACAGTTTTTTCAGATGGATATTAAAGGTCCCAAGGCACCATTCAGAAAGAGAGTTTCTCCCAGTGTTCTGACCAATGATCCCCCAACTAAATTGATCATTCATAGCTGTTTGTGGGACTTTGCTATATACAAATTGGATGCCTCTTGGAAGCTACCCTGTGTGAGGGGCACTATATAAATGCAAGTTGTTGTTACGAATTGGCTGCCAAATTTGCTTACATATTCTCAGAGTATGCTTATTCAGCTTGATGGTATAGATTCCATGGTACTATTGTAAAAGGGAAGGGGGTTTCTCTTGATAAAAACATTGATCATTCACTTCATGGCTTGTGGAGTCCTGTAGCTCAGTGGTTAGAGAACTTGCCTCGCAAGCAAGAGACCTAGGTTCGATTCCCAGCAGGGTGAAACCTTGGCCAAGTTTCTTTACTCCACACGCCTGATAATAATTCCTCAAGAAAAAAAAACAATAAATTGGTCACTTCAAACCACCACTGTTTGTGGGACACTGGTGTGCGCAATTGACTGCCGGGTTTCGCTCACAAATATACAGTCAATTCACTTTACAGTATATTCTGTGAAGCGCTTTGAGACGTCTAGAAGACGTGATAAGGCGCTATATCAAATGCAAGGATTATTATTATTATTATGGCTGTTTGTGAGATGTTGCTGTGCGCATATTAGCTGCCATGTTCACCTTCAATTACACAGTCAGTACATACACAATAAATCCTGTGAAGCTCTTTGAGAAGTTTGGCAACATTATGAATCCATGACTGTTTGTGGGACATTGCTGTGCGCAATTGGCTGCCATGTTTTGCCCACAAAATATCCAGTCACTTTACACTATATTCTGTGAAGCGCTTTGAGATGTTTCGAAGACATGATAAAATGATATATCAAATGCAAGGATTAGTATTTTCTGAAAAGAAATCTATTAATCTCCCGTTCTGCTTGAAGCTTGTTTAGATTGTAGTTTTATATAATAACAATCCTTGCATTTGATGTAGCACGTTATCATTTGTTGAGACCTCTCAAATGTTTCACAAGATACACCGTCAAGTGGAGTGACTGCGTGTTTTATGGGCGAAATGCGGCAGCCAATTGTGCACAGCAACAAACAGTTGTGGGTTGAGTGACCAAATTATTATTTTTAAAAAAAATTTGAACGGATTATTACCCCTGGAAAGTGATTCACCAATCAACTAATAACCAGTTAATATTATATTAAAAGTTCTGTGCTTCCAATCCAAATTAACTATCCTGCTCACATTTGCATTTTCGTTTTTCAACTTTGTCGCAAAATCTGTTGACTTTCATTATTTTAAAGACTTGAATTGTGATCTTACCCAAGTCTTGTATTCTCCAATTAAAGCAAACTCAAAAACAGTAAGTATAAAGTCTGGCTATTTTATAATATCATAAGAAATAAGACGTTGGGTTAAAGCCTAAACTGCATATTCCTTGTTGCTGAAAAATACTTTTAGCTTTTGAAGGAATCTTGGCATTTCTGTAATGAGATCAATTGTTTCATATGTTCACAGGGCTATAAAAAAATGTTCGAACAACTTTAACTCGATTTAAAATGATGTTCTTGTGTATGTAAAATGTAATTTCACATTTGAAATGCCAAGATTCCTTCAAAAGCTAAGAATTTATTTGAAGGACCGTTTCCCAGCATTTAAGACTTGAAATGCTTCGCAGTGTTAACTTTAAAAGCATTGTCTCAGGTTTTAAGATTGTTGTCTTAAAATGCAACTGTGAATATAACTAAAAGAACTGAAGAAAAACAACTTCCAAGTTGAGACTGAATTTAAGAATTTTCAAAAATTCTGCATAATCTTATCTTTTTAAATAAATAATAATAATCCTTGCATTTGATATAGCGCTTTTCACATCTTCTAGACGTCTCTAAGCACTTCACAGAATAGACCGTAAAGTGAATTGACTGTATAATTGTGGGTGAAATGCGGCAGCCAATTGTGCACAGCAGTGTCCCACAAATGGTCATGGATTGAAATGACAAATTTATTGTTGTGTTTTTTTGAGGGATTATTATCAGGCGTGTGGAGTAAGGAAACTTGCCCAAGGTTTCACCCTGCTGGGAATCAAACACAGGTCTCTCGCTTGCAAAGCGGGTGCTCTAACCACTGAGCTACAGGACTTCACAATGCTTTTAATGCTAACTCCATAAGAAATATCAGACTTCTAACATGCAGAGGTATCTAGTTTTAATAGTTTTCTAGCGCTCTGAGACACTGCCCCGTGTGAAGGGCGCTATATAAATGCTATTTATTGTTGTTGATAATATTACAAATAATTAACTGAGCTATCTCGTAACACTAAAAATCATTGCACTGAACTGTTCACCAACATGGTCTGAAGACAAGGTACAAGCGACAGATATCACAAGATATACAGAGATGACAACGGAACTCAATTGAAACCAAAAGGACGATTTGACCCTTTATCCAGATGGTAACACACAGAACTTATTTTCAATTATAAATTTTTTTTTAGTTTTAGAAATGAAATGCAATTTTTCTTTCTTGTTAGATTTTGTATTACTCATTGGCTTTGCTTCTGTACTTCTTGGTGTGTACTAACAAAACTCAAATGACAATTGAATTATTTACAATTTTTGTTCATGCGAGATATAAAATGTCATGGTAAATTGGACATAAACTGTGTGAAGATATTTTGATATAAGATTTTCTAATATTTGTCTTGGAACAAATATGGAGAACTAGATGAATGCTTTGTTTCTGTGCTATGTAAAATATAACCGTAAAAAGGGTTTATGCATCACCAACACATATCTGAACACTTCTATGTGACAATTTTGGTTTCAAACTATTTGCAATAAATTGTAGCCGTTTAATTCCCTACCTCACTGCAGCACCTTCTGGCCAGTAAACCTTTCTACTCTTCAGGACTTACATAACAGTTAGTACTGTTCATTCAGGTCTAATAGGACACAATTGAGACAGTCTGAATTCATTCCATCTTTGTCTCATGGGAAGTGAGTTTATCGCTCATCCTTGGACTGGATTTCAGCTACAGGAGTGAAAAGCATTACTTGCTGTTCTACAATCCACTTCCGGCTTTGTGGCTCTAAGTTCCACAGGCCACATTTGTGCTAGACTTGGTCTAATCCTGTGCATAAATTCTGTCAGGCCAACCACAAAAACTGAAAAATTAGGTGTTTCTTACATTTTATGTATAGGATATTCTTTCCAATGTTTTGAGCTAAATTAGCGCTCATGCAATAAAATGAGTAAATGGAGACTTTTGAAGTGTTTTGAAAGGAATTGGCTTGATTCCTATTCAGCAGAGACTTAGGGAATATGGGAGAACAGTAAAATATGCTCAGATTTGGCAGTGACACAGAATCTGGTTGTCAGGAGGAACTAGATGGGTTGAATGGCCTCAACGGGATTATTTTAAGATCATATGTTTTATTTGCTTATGGTATTGGATGCATCACTTGAAAAGGAATTTACACATTTCAAAGGGGGCATTGCCTTTTTGAAAGAGTATTGGCAAACATACGTTTAAGGAAAAGTAAAAAGAGCATCTACTAAGGCAGTAATAAAAGTGTCTTGAAACTGAGTGTTTTGAGTAAAAAAAGAAAAAGGTTTAGCAATGCTTTCCAATGACTTCCATGACACCTAATGAGACATCACTCCACAAAATGTGTCCTGTACCATATCTAGCATTTAAAATTCTTTAGAAATACTTTGAGAAATTTTGTATCAGTTGCTTGCTCTCTCTCAGTCAGGAAGCTGTGGATTCGAGTCCTACATCAGAATATGAGCTCAGACTTTGGACTTGACATTTACTCCAGTTCAGTGCTTAGGGAATGCTGTATTGTTGGAGGTGTGTCTGTTAGATCAGATATTAAACCTAGGGCCATTTAGTCTGTTTTAGTGAATTAAAGGAATGATAAAAGATTCTATGGCACTATTTGGAAGGGGAAGGATTTCTCCTGGTGCCCCAGGCCAGTATTTGTTTGCTTACAAAATACATAGTGACTACACTTTGCAGTATGTCCTCTGAAATGCTTTTGGAAGTCCTCTCGAGATGAAAAGCGGAATATTAAATTTAAATATTATTATTATTATTATTATTCCATCTTCAGTCAAATTCACCGAAAACAAATCGAATATGATTAGTCCTTTCATTGTTGTTTACCCCAATCTTCCTTTCACTGCACTTTTCTGCTTGTTCACTTTGCTTGGCTAACTCAACCTGCTGTGTTCCCCATGCCAGCATCGCAAGTATGCTCTTAACCTCTGGAACTCCCTCACTTTCCTTGCCTGGCATCCAACCCTGTCTTTATGAAGTGCTCCGAGATATTATCTTATGTAAAGGGTGCTATATAAATGCAAATTGTTGTTTTTGTTTATGGGGTGTTGCTGGTATAGATTAGATTTGGTTCTTCATTTCATAGGTGTTTGTGGAATATTCAGTTTGGAGCCACATTAATCAGTTTGGATGAAGAAGGCCCTTTGGCTTGTTTGGTCTTATCCTGCCAGAATTCCCAGCCAACCATCTTCCTATCACAGCAGCAAACTGTTCTTTTTAAAGAGTCCTGTGTTGTGGCCTCAACCACCCTTCTGGCCACTTGTTCCACTCATTAATTCCACTCCTCTGGATGAAGAAATACTTAATAAACCTTTAATTTTTCTGTATCTCTGACATGATCTTGGTAACATTTGTCTGTATTTAATCATTGAATCAGAGCAAATATTTACTCCAGCTTGTCTGTTGATCTTTTGACAATTTGTTTTGTTCCTGTTGTGTATTTTACTTTCCTCCACAAAGTCTGAAATAATGACAGGTCTTTCCAATAAACATTTGTGTTTCTGTGAAATCAGAAAACCATGAGTAATTTCTGCTATAAAAATGTCTGATTAGTTTAATGATAGGTCTGTAAGGCTGCCAGCCTCATGTAAACAAAACCATTTTCTGTCAACAAATCTGAATGAATGCCCTGTTTATCCAGTTTAGAATTTGTCAATTAATTCCCAAATCTTGATGACCAAATAATGAAGGAGATATTCACTGCCATCATGTTAAAAACCCAGTAAAATGGTGCCTATGACTAATTAACAGTAAATCTTTCTTTACCCAAGGCCAGTGTCAAAACATTCCTTTTCGACAGTGCTGCCAGTCATCCTCCCAACTCCATCCCTCTTGCCCCCCACCTCTCTTGATTCCAACCCCCGGCTCGGATGCAAATCCTTGACCATCAGGCACCTTGAGATGTCCTACTATAATAATAATAATAATAATAACCTTTGCATTTGCTATAATGCCTTATCATGTCTTCTAGCCGTCTCAAAGCGCTTCACAGAATATACTGTAAAGTGAATTGACTGTGTGTTTTGTGATTGAAATGTGATAGCCAATTGAGCACAGCAGTGTCCCACAAACAGTCGTGGATTGAATAACATGAAAGGCACTATATAAATGCAATTGGTTGTTGTTGCTCAGTGTCCAACCTTCCACCTTGCAGCGCTACGAGACGCTGTCCTGTGTGAAGGGTGCTGAATATATGAATGCAAGTTATTGTTGTGGCTTTAGTCCTATAGTTTGGAAGCATTTTGTAAACCATTTTGTAAACCAGTATTGGATGAGTTTTGCTGTTGGCCTGTTTGCTATTGCATATGCACCGTAGACGATACAAACCTAGGTAAATTGCCCTCTTCCTGACTATGAAGTGAGTCACACCTCTCTTAAGACATTGCTCTGCCACAGGCAGTCTAGCAATTGTTCCTGTACAAAAAAGGTTAGTTTTCCAGAATGGAAATGAAGATGTAAATCTGGAGGTTAAATACTATACCCAGAACATTTCTTCCCTCCATTAAGGTAGTTTGTGAAATTGTGGTTTGCCCAATTGGGATGACCATTGAGGCTTGTTAGGGTATTTACCTCCTGTCAAAAAACATTCCCAGGTGTTTAAAAAGCAGGAGATGAATCACTCTCCAGCTTCATGTTGTAAATCTGCAAAACATCAGACTCAATCACACAGTATATTTTCTCCTAGCACTGCAGACAACCCGATGAGTCATGCCAGCTTCACTTTTTTATTTGTATTCAGTGGATCTGAAAAACATTTGCAGGCATTTGAATTCCTACCTATTGCAATAACTCTAAGCTGTCTCACAGTTCTAAGCATGCATATGAAGAACAGTATTTAAGCACATTTTTCTTTACTCTGTAAGTGCACTTTAAGCTTCCTTACAGTACATCTCCACATATTATGACACACGCAAACCCACACACAAACATACAGATACACAGACACAAACATGCACACAAAGATACTCAGAATGATAATTTATTTGTAAAAGATCATGTGATTGTTATCATAGTCACATTTTACAGTGTTTATATTTATATTAACAACTGTGTTATCATTTTTCTAGTGATCCCTAAAGATAATTCAATGTGTTTTAATGTATTTTGTGGTTTCAGCCACAAAATATTGTCAAACCACTTTACAGTATATTCTGTGAAGCACTTTGAGAAGTCTCGACGATGTGACAAGGGGCTATACCAAATGCAAGATTTATTATTATTATTATCATCATCATCATCACAATCCTGTGACTTGATATAGAAGCTTATAGTGTCATTGAAATGTCTCAGGTACTTCGCCGGATTTATTGGAGAGTGTAATGAATAATACTTTGCATCTGCAGACCAACACAGCTGCTAATGTATGCACTGCAATGTCCTACAAATTGCTGTGAAGTAAGCAACCAATTTTATCTGGAGAATTTTTGGCTAAGACTCTGGAAGAAATTCCCTTCTCATTGCAAACAGTACCATTTGATGTTTACCATCCACCTGAACAGGCAGTTGAGACCACATTTTAATGTCTTATCTAAAGGATGACACCTCTGACAATGTAACAATCCCCCAGTGCTGCACTGGATGTCCTCCCAACTTGAAAGGCGCTAAACAAATGTAATTTGTTGTTGTTATTAGTTTAGTCTATGGCTTCAAAGTCCCAACATGGGGTTTGAACCCACAACATCAAAGGTAAAGGTGCTACTAACTGAGCCAGGTAACACCTAAATTGAAAATAATCGCTTGGAAATCTTGCTTTTTCTGAAAATTTATTTATCTGTTCCTGTTCTGTAATTGTTTTCTCCTCACGGGATAACATTTGCGATATTCCTTGAGGTATTTTATTCCCTATCTATGGACCATTTTAAGGAATACCAGCAGATGGCAACCCTCTCCAGGTGAGTGGTTTGCTTCAGGGTCTTAGCTGCCCCATTTATTTTCTTTCTGAGGCGACAATTTTATTTTGTAAATTTTAGGCCTTCAAACATGTTTTAGGTTATGTTTGTGTTTGAATTTGCTTTCCCAGGATTTATCTGCCTATGAGGATCAAAATGCCTGCTCTTATTTAATTTGTAGGGAAATGGATTAACTTAATTTTGCTCC